GTGGGGTGGGGGGTGGGGGGGGGGTGGTTGGTATGCTGTGTGAATAGGAACACATACAAATATAGAAAGCTTTTCTCAACTGACTGCAAAAGTGGAAATACACGTTAAAACTACAGGGAGAAGTGACTAGGCCATGTCATGTGACAGGAAATTCACTGCAATTTCTAATTTTTCAGGGTGCTGCATAGCCGCAAATAACTTTGCAAGATATTCCCTATAAGACAACAAACCTTAACTTTTTAAGTATCACAAATCCATGAATAAACTTGTCCCATATTTTCATTAATACTTGTGAGTTGGTGACAAAGGGACAGAAAAGTCACACTTACAATTTTGTTTACTCGTCCTTCCAAATTGCTCACAAAAGGAAGAATATTTTTTGATTTGGGTCAGGAAAAAATAAAACAGCATATTTTCTGCAGTCTTTTATATGGTGATCTCGGAATACAAAAACAATCTAATAGTTCAGTTAACCAGACAACGACAATATCATTAAGAAAAAAAAGAAGTACAGACCTCTTCCTGATTCTGCCGTTCCCTCTCTTCCTCAAGCTTCTGTATCTCTGCCAAAGACAATGCAGACTGAGATGATCCTACAGAATTCACCTGCTGCCCCCATGTGGAAGAAGAAGGTAGCTAAAATGGTAGAGAATGAAAGTAGGTCACAGTGAAAACCTTTCCTCTGAATGCAGTAAAACATGCTACAACCATAATAGAAAATACAGTTGAAAAAAGGTTATTAGCATACCAGTAGGTATCTACAACTTGATCACCTATATTAAACATTATTTCATGGTCTCACAAAATATTTCTATGATTTCTCTATTACCATGTGGCTATAGACTGCCAAATATCTCCTGAACAACGAAGAGCAGCAAGATGTCCTCCTTGAGAACTGCTGTAGTTCACTATTTCCTGTGCAATAGAGTATAGGTTTGGAAAATCTTCCTGTGACAAAAAGCCGCTCTGACCACTGGAGCTGCTTGTTATTGTACCTTAGGAAAAATAGAAAAATTGCAAGCGATGCTTAATGGGATGGGAGCTATAATTGGGCCATTTATAGTAACACTAAACTCAAGTGTTAAATCCTAAAATGTATTCAAGTACCCTAACTATTAACAAAAATGAATCTTATTTGTGTATCACTTGGCTGTAGATCCTCAGATCATCTCTGAATTGGTGCTGGCACTGTCCTTCCTTCTTCTGGAGGGTGGCTACTTTTGTTGCCCATGGTTCCTGTGTGTGTTGCAAAGTAGTCACTGCTCCAAGCTCGCTCCAGTGATGGACTACAATCTCATGTTTGGTTTACTAATTTGTATTGAGGATGTAGTCTATCACGGGAGTGAGCTTGGAGCTGTGGCTACTTTACAACGCACACAGGGACCATGGGGAACAAAAGTAGCCACCCTGCAGAAGGAAGGACAGTGTCAGCACCAATTCAGAGATGATTTGAGGATCTACAGCCGAGTGTTACACAAATAAGATACATTTTTGTGAAAAGTTAAGGTACTTAAATATATTTTTAAGATTTAACTCCGGAGTTTAGTGTCACTTTAAGGCTGTACAGGGATGCACAGATACCAGTGCCGAAATTTGGCATTTTCACGAGAACCATCAGGGTTGCAGCTGGAACCAGGACCTTGCCCTGCGATCTACCACTGTCCTGAAGTCGTTAGTCTGTATTGTTTTAGAAAAACTGTCACATGACAATAACAAAAATGTATCTGTGAAGTGTTTGTGTGATACACAAATAAGATACATTTCTGTTAATAGTTAAAAGAGAACTATGGGGTGTTTTTCCCTATAGTTCTCTTAAGGGTCATGGGAGGACATATACTAGCGTCCTCTCGTGACCCAAAGCTCAGTACTGCTCACGATATACTGAGACCACCGCAGCCGGGACGGATCCCGACATTACTGTCGAGATCCACCCAGCTGCGTGAGTGACAGCTGGCTCTGCCTATCAAGAGGCAGAGCCAGCTATGCCAGCACCCTCCCTGGTTCGTTCCTCCAGTCAGCGCCGGAGGATCGGAGAGGGGAGGGGGGGAATCCCTGCTGGGAGCGGTGACTGACAGTCACGGCTCTCTGCAGGGAGATGATCAAGAAGTGAGCGAGCCACTGTGTGTGTTCGCTCACTTCCCAATCTATTTTCACTCACCTTATAGTTCTCCTTTAAGGTACTCGTGGTTAAGGTCAGCCTAAGGGCCATTCCGCACTGATCCTGTTGTTGGGATGTTGCCAGTGGCAGGATTGCTATGCAGGAACAGACAGATCACCTGCTTCCATGGGTCACTCTTATTTGCCAGCTGGATGAACTATATGCCACTTCCTCATTGGCAACTTACTTTCTGCAGTATTTCCATCAGTGAGAAAGCATCTGTCCGACGAGGGAATAACACATGGAAGCAGGTGAGTATTATGTCTGGAGGTAGGGGAGTATTATGTCTGCAGTTTTAAGCAAGAACTCGCCAGCAACACTATTTCTAGTGTGAAATCAGCCTAAGAATGATGATATAAACAGCAACCACAGCTTTGCCAAAGAAAACCAATGAAGTTTCAACAACCTTCATCTGTGCCAGTTGTTGCTGCTGCTGTTGCTGCTGCAAGCGTCTAAGTGCTTCCTGTTGCTGCTGCCTCTGTCTATTAAGCTCTTTTTGTCTCTGAGCTTCTTGCTTTTTGCGTTCCTCTTCCTCCTGTCGCTGTTTTGACTCTTCCAGCAATCGCTGTGCTGCCTCTTCCTCTTCACGAGCCCACCTTGCTGCCTCCTCCTGCAAGAAAAGAGGAATAAAAGCAATTGTAATAAAGCAGAATAAAGACTGATTAACTTAACAAAAAGACAGAAAAGAGAAAAAAAAGCCATAGACAGCAGAGCAAACAATTCTAAATCACACAGCAACGTAATATTTTGCACCCTACTAGTCTGAGATGTGGTGGCTGCATTCGTTTTCTGTTTTGTATTTCCTTTATTCACCTGGTAATTCTGTCCGAACACGCTTCCTGTCCTAGGGTGACAACGCTTACTCACTGCACTATAACTATGGAGGGGAAGAATTGTCATCCTAGGACAGAGAGTGATATGTCTACAGAACACTTCCTCCTCTCCTGATCTCCAGAACATGAAGGGGGGGGGTCGTTTTGTGGTTTACTTGGTAAACTAGGAACAATGCTAACTGATAATGGTCAGCAAAGACCAAGAGCACAGAAGGTCTTCAATTCAAAAACATTTTTAGAGTTTACATACACGTTAACAAGGCTAAATAGGAAATCCTTAAACATATCTAGAAACAAAAGCTGTTGGAGCTCACTTCATATCTAAATTAAAAGGACAATACCTTGTTATGTTTCAATCATTAAATATAGATTCAACCATTAAAGATAAAAACTAATTAACTGAACTTTCGTTTCTCTCTTTGTTCCTTGACAATCTTGTTTGCATCCATCTTCTGATGTCTCATATTTAAGGTATTTAACTTTTTTACAATATTGCATCTAGTCTGTATTTTCATAGTTCTCTGTATAGGGCACACTCTCTTGACCCCCTCCCTTCAGTCCGGTGTGAAGGTCTTATTTGTTGGAAGACACGCTTAGTGTTGTCTGCCGACACTATGTAATGTAATGTAGAGCTTTTCATTGAATTGTTTATTTGATACCTTATGTATCACTAATTAAATAAATATAGATTTAACCATAAATTAAAGGACGTCTCCTTGATCTGCACCTAAACAAACAAATCACATTGTAACTATAATAATATCATAACATATTTTGAATGAGTTTCCTTTATACAGGAGCTGCAGTCAGTGTTTCAAAGATACAGAGCAGGGCATGGTCATTTCCGCAGGTAGAGTGGGCACAGAGGAGACGGATGCCCTGGGCACATGAGGTACATCCCCCTTCTACACCTTTAATTGATGAAGAACGTGAAAAAAGACACCATATGTACCATATTGTATATATTGCATTAAACAAATAGCTCCATTTTATTAGAGGATAATGCCAGTCCCTAAACATGATGGGGTACAGAAAAAATACTCCTCAGCCATGGTAAATGTGGTTAATAACCAGCTTTACCGTTTCAACATCATATATATGCCTATATTCCTCACCTGGGGGGAAGCGCATACTGTTAGTCGGGTACATACAACACAAAAAAACAATTTAACATAACTTGCAATTACATTTCCCATTAGTATTACTGTTGATAACTTTACAAAATTGCTGCTGTCAGAGAAATGCAGAAGTCAGTGGTGCTTATACTGACAGCACAGGTCTTAAGGTGCCCATACACTGCTTGATTCTCGTACGAGAATCGCGGGAAATCCCACGATCGTACGAGAATCGAGCAGTGTGAACGTCTTTTGTCGAACTAGCCTGCTCGTTCGACAGCTGCGGAACAGGCCGGTGTGCGCACGCGCACACTGCCCGTTCTGCATTGCGGTCATCGGAAGCCCACCCCTCAGCGGGCAGGCTTTCGATGATCGCAAGTACGATCTGCCTGTCCAAGATGGGCAGATCGTACAAGCTTTTAATAAGCTTACGACCAGCGCAAGACAAAAGTCTTGAGCTGGTCGTAAGGTGTATGGGCACCTTTACACAAATGATTGGGAATCATGCTGACAGGTTTCTGATCATATGATCACCACAACAGCTGATTACAATGTCACAGTGATTGCCATTTCATTTTTGCTCAGACACATAGCATTCCATTTCAGTTTTGCTCAGGAGCATAGCTTTGGCAACAAATAGCTGTGACAGAGGAACTCAATACGAACCCTGACAAGATTAAACTCTATTATGAATGAGAGATTTTTTTTTTATAGCACAAGCAGCACATAAACTCACTTGCTTCCTTTGAAGCTCTTCCCTTTGCCTCCTCTCCTCCTCTCGTTTCTTTTCCTCCTCCTTTTTTCGCCTTTCATTTTCTGCCCTTTTCTTTTCCTCTTCAAGTATTCTCCGCTCTTCTTCTTGCCGCCTCCTCTCCTCCTCCTGCCGCCTCCTCTCCTCGAGTAGCCTCCGTTCTTCCTCTCTTTTCCGCTCTTCTTCCTCTATCTGCCTCCTCAGTGCCAGTTCTTGCTCCCTCTGTCGCCGCAGAGCTTCTTCCTAAAAGATAATAAACAAACACTGCTATAAGTACTGGGTCCGATTTCCCAAGCTGACATGGTAAACATGACATACCAGGCACATCGATTCCAGGTGAAAAATTGATAACTTTGGATTTTGATAATACATTAGCTTTACATTGGCAAACAGCGGGTACAAAATTTTTTTTGTAACTGTGTAGGAACACAGGAAGTCTTAAACCTTCGGGTCACTTTGCCGCCTATAGGAGGACAAGACACTGGCAGACAAAAAAACAAAAACTTTAGGCCAGTCCAGGATAACCCGTCCGCTACCAGAACATCTCAGTTTTGTAGCAAAGCAGTACGGGGAAGAACAGTTCGGGGTGGGACCTGCACACCTCAATGGACTTCAAGAAAAGGATTTTACAGCAAATCACTGATCGCTGAGTGTTTGTATACCACTCTCCATCCTGGATCGGCCGTCATAGGAGGCTGAGGTGTGGGGAGGAGAGTTCGGTCTATTTTGACAGCTAACTCCTCCCCCTCACTGCCGACTCAGCCTCCTGTGACAGCTCACGGCAGTCTCCGCCACCACACTGCTCTCCATTCTGTTGGGTCACAGAAGGAAATTTTGGCTTCCTGTGACACTGCTGAAGACTTTGCTCTCCACCCCGCAGCGGTCGGCCTTCTAAAAGTTTCTCTCCTACCATCTGGACGATGCGTGTCAGAGAGAACACAGAGTAGAGCACAGCGGGGAGGAGTGAAACTATGGATGCGCCACAATTTTGGCTGAAGGATGGCACTTTCGGGATTTTGCCAAAAGTGCTTTTTTTGGCCGAAAATTCAGTGTATACCTAGCTTCTCTCCTCCCCGCCTGTCTGTGTGCCTTCTGGAGCCCAGCAGGGAGGAGAGAAGGTTTCAGGATGACCAAGCAGTGTGGGGCAGTGACAGGTGCGGGAGGAGGCCAAGCTCTCCTCCCGCACCACCCAGCTCGGCCTCTTGTGTCAGGATGGAGAGTAGTGTTGTGTGGTGACAGTTGTGATCTGTCACAGGAGGCGGAGCTCTCCTCCCACACCTCTTGGCTCAGCCTTCTGGGTCAGGAGGGAGAGCGGTGAGTGGAGGAGAGCGCTATGATCTGTCACAGGAGGCAAAGCTCTCCTCACCCGCCCTGCCTCCTGCCACAGCCATTTAGGATGGAGAGCGGTATACAAACACTCACCGATCAGCTGACCATTGAGTGTTTGTAAATGCTTAGTGTGTGTGTGCCTACTATGTCCCAGTTATGAATGAATGGGAAGTGATCTACATAATTTCATATTCATTCATGATTGTGGACACGTAAGCACACTATATCCACATGTATGAAGGGGCAGGAACACTCAATATAGAGGATTCCTGTTCAATCATAATAGGGGCTGCAGAAAAAGAGATTGAGGGCAGACACAAAAAAAAAAGTAAAATAAAATAAAAAAATTATTTAAAATTTGACCAATTTTTTATTTTTGGTCTCAACATTTTATGTGTATGTGTTTTGATAAATAATAATAATTTTTGTGTTTAAAAGTAAAAGGTAGTATTAAACTCGTAATCATTTTTGTCCAATAATGAATCCAGATCAAACAATTATACGTTGCCGTGCACAGTATTTCTTTTTGTCCAAGCTCTTAGTCATCATGTCTCTGAACAGTTGACTCCAGCTTTCTCAGCGTCACTTCCCTGAACTTCCTGTCCAGTACAAGATCACAAAGGACAGAGCAGTCTCCAGCAGTTATCCATCTACCAGCTTTTAATAGAGAGGAAGACGGGAGGAAGGAGAAGAGTGGAACAGGAAGCAGGGGAATGACTTGTCTAGCTTGTGCCTTTGTAGAGAGACACACAGCTTACTAGCACACACAAAGGTGGCTCCGTATGACCCTACAAGGAAAAGGAGCCACTCTAAAACAGGATATCAGGATGCTATTTGCATACTAAAAGCCCTGCAGGCTTTGTGGGTCCAGAGCTATACAAAGGCATATAACTATACTATTTTAAGTGTCAGCACAGTGTCTGTACAAATCTTCATATGGTTTGAAAGATTTAAAAATAAACACGAGTTCCCTCCTGCCTAAAGCATACAAATCCCGGCCAGGATATATACACATCTTTTTCCAGCAAGGTTAAGTGTAGTACCTGTTTTCGACGTGCCAGCTCCAATTCTTCCTTTCTTTTCCTCTCCTCCTCTTCAAGCCGTCGACGTTCTTCCTCTTCTTGTTTGGCCCTTATCTCTGCTTCCCTTCTCTCCTGCTCCTGCTAAAAATACAAACAGTTAGCATATATATATATATAGAAGTCTTGGCCTGACTTCCACAAAAAAGAAAAAACAGCAGCAAAAATTCAGGAGGAAAAGAGCAGATCAGGGTTTGATCATTAGGGTATCCAAGTAACCAGCGTATGCTCAGTCAGCATGTAAGTATATTGTGCCCACCACACTGAGCCACACACACACACACACACACACCAACATTAGTGCTGCAGTTCTTTACTGTTCTTGGTAGTTGTCTGCTTAGATACAAGGGTTCAATTCTATCCGTCTTGTCTTACATTGTTTGCCATGTGCAAAAAGACAAGGAAGGGACAGACTACGGTATGCAAACAAACATATGGCTCATAAGCAGGCTTTGTTTATTCCAGTAAATAGGAGAACACATGCGGATAAGGATAATGGTTATATATAAGCTTATGTATACGCCCTTTGTTTAAAAAAATGTTGCATTGTAGAAATAAAAGTTTCCATACTGTCTACAATTTATATTCTGAGAGCTGGCTTCCTAATACTTTTAGGGTCTTCAGTGGATGTGGTTTGGCCAAACTATGATATAAAGCACTAATATCACTAATATATTCAATATTAACGGAATGAACCTCACATTCCTTTCTGATTAAGAAAAAAAGAAAGAAAAGCAGTGCAAATCTACACAGTGGCAAGGATGCACTGGGATTACAGGCATAGGCCAACTAATTAAGGGGTCTATTTTGTTCCTAAAATCAGTACCCCTAGAGAAAAGGACATAATTAGACAAATAAAAAATATCATACATTTCACTACAACCTGGGGATTGTAATGGTCACATGTAAACTAAAAAGGAAAACTTGGTTCAGTTCCCTTCAGAAAAATGATCACTATTCCATTGTGGTTATTGGGGGACACAGATATGTTTGCCTATTATTCAGAGGTCATGACAATCCCCGTGCCCACCCCAAAGGAATATTATATTAGATATTTTTGTACTCAAAATATTTTTTTTTCTTGGGTTTACTGAGGAACATATGCTTAATAATACACAACTCAGGGTGTCATTCTTTTACAGATGCTTAGCTAAAACGAATTAGCAAGTGTCGGTTAAGCAGGGCATAACCCAGAATGGAAGAGTCAATATAGTTAGAATGTACCCACTTTCAGACCGTGTAAAAAGCCCATGGATTGAACGTTGTCTCATAATGAATAATAAGATAACTTTTTCCTTGTACTGCTATGACACAATTGCTCTATCATTTTATGGAATTACATTTTGTCAATACAATGGGTTATCTAGTTTGAATGATCATTTTACCTTAGCAGCTTTAGCTTTTTCCATCTGTTCCAGCTGATCTCTTGATGCTCCCTGAGATGCTGGTTCTACAGGCAGGTCCCACACACTGCTTCCCTCCCACACTAAAACAAAAGGGATTGTAGAATTAAAGCTAGCGATTCAAAACAGATTAAGAGCTAAAAATGTATACTCCAAAACCAATGCAAGCATAATGATGGGAAACCTGAAAATAAAGCTGTATAAAAAAAAATGAATGGAAAAAAAGCCAATATATGTGTAGAAAAACAGAACTGCTGTATTTGCTGTACAATCCATTTTTTGGAGTTCACTGGGGGCCACAGGATAAGAAGCAACTCTTAGACATATTGGTTATACTGCCACCTACAGGGGGAATTGGACACTGGCAAACAAAGGAAATCTGTTTGCCACCACTCCCACTATGTTCTACTTTTGTAAAAAAAAAATATTGGGAGGAGATCTTAAACACAGAAGGTTTGAATCTGTGTCCCTTAATCAACTCCAAAAAAACAGATTTGACGGTGCAAAAATCCTGTTTTCTTTTGCGTTTATTAAGGGGCACAAGATCCAAGGTAATTCTTGTACATATGAGACATCCAAAAGTAAAACAAAACAATAACAAGACCACATACCAGTGTAAAAACTGGGGTCTGCCTGCAGCTCAAAGAGATTTATGCCCGAAGCTTGTATCAGCTGAAGCCTAAACATCCATCTGGCAAAACCAGAAAACTAGACGGTGGCCTTGCAAATTTGGGAAATAGAGGCCTGATGTCTAAAAGCCCCAAAAGGTCTTACAAACCTTGCAGAGTGAGGCTTGACAGGGCAAGGAGGTACCTTGTCTAAGCCAATAGGCTTGAATGATTATCTGTCTGAGCCACCGAGAAATGGTGTAAAGAGAAGCAGGTTCCCCTTCACAGGGTCCACTAGGAATAACACACACTCAGTCTTTCAAACGGAAGCAGCGACTGAGGGGTAAACCTGCACGGCATTACCTACAACCAAGCAGTGAAGGGAAATCTTTGGATATAGTAGTGCTGGACAGAGGAAAAGTTGTCCTGATTGCGGCCAAATTGGCAGACTACAAAATGGTAGTGTCGCATGCCCAAAGCAAAGCACATGTGGAGTTGGTTTGCTGGGAAGATGGAGACTTGTATGCATCCTTTATGTTTATAGAGGCCAGAAAATCTCCCTGGTGAAGGGAAGCCAAGTCACCAGGTCGGTGGAGTTCATGCAAAACGTTTGGAAGTGAATGTTAAATCCAGGATGAGACACATGCCTTCTTTTTGTTTGGGAACTGTAAACAGAATTGAGAAAAATCATTGAAACCTTTTAGCTTCCAGAACAATTTTAATGGCTCTGAATCAAGACATATTCTAGGGGAGCATAGAGGTTTGTCAGCCTGTGCAGAGACACAGGTATGAGGTGGGGCAGAGGCCGAGTGCAACTCTAGCTTGTAGCCCCTGGACACCACGTCTTTTACCCATGATGCTGCTTTCTGACCAGGAGCCCTCAAAGGCCAACAAACCTCCCCCCATTTTGGATTGTGAGGGCGTCAATGCGAAGAGGACTTGTCTGCAGGTCTGGATGTTTTGGGAACCCAGGGATTGCAGTGAAAAAGTAACTGGCTTAGGTCTTTTTTTTTTGACTGGTAAGTTGAGAGATGCAAAATAAACTCTTCTAGGATTCAAAGGTGGGAATCGGTTTGCTAGTTTGAGGCCTTGGTTTCTTTTGTCTCGACAAAAAAGTACTTTTACTGCCAGTGACATCTTAAATAAAGTTGTCTAACAAAAAACAAAAAGACACATTCTTTGTCAAAGGGCAAAAGAGTATTGCACGTATAAGCTCGAAACTCTTCATAACTGAATGGTCAGTAAGCGTAGATTCAGGTTTCTCAGAAATATTGTTAGTCCATTCCCCCAACGCCTGACAGATTGACATAATCGCTATGGCAGGTTGCACAGCAGGAGCTGCCAGGGAGATCAAGAATTTGGCAAAAGCCTCTACACCTTTGTCAGCCTTATACTTAAAAGAGAACTATGGGGTAAGTGTTTTTCCCCATAGTTCTCTTTAGGGTCATTTAGGCTCAGTATATCGCGGGCAATAAACTGAGAGCGCCACAGCCGGGACGGATCCTGACAATACTGTCGAGATCCACCCAGCTATGCGAGTGACAGCTGGCTCTGCCCATCTCGAGGCAGAGCCAGCTGTGCCCGCCCCTCTCCTGTTCATTCCCCCAATCAGCGCTGGAGGATCGGAGAGGGGGAATCTCCGCGGGGAGCAGTGACAGACAGCCACCGCTCACTGGAGGGAGACAATCGGGAAGTGAGCGGATCAGCGGCATGTTTCTGCTCACTTCCCGATCAATAGAGCCGATCTGTGACAGCTTCTTTGTCACAGGTAGGCTCTAACTATGTGGATGAGTGGAAATCACTCACCTCATGGTTCTCCTTTAAAAACACTGGGTCATCCTCTTGGACCACTTTTTTTTATAAAAGCCTTCACAAAAACATATTGTAAGAAAAGTCTTTTGGATGAGAGTACAGATTATCAGGAGCCATCCAGTCTCCATACTGAACCCAGACTAGTAATATTAGTTGTTTTCAGTCAGGGGTTGCTTTATCTTTAAACATGTGGGCCCTGTGTAAATAAGATCTGATACGGTATCTTTTAACTTGGGAGCTAAATCAGCAGGCTAAGGCTCCTGTGGTAAAATCTAATCCAAAACAGAATTGTGTAATTCCTCATCCCATGGCAATTTATCACAAACTGGAGCAGACAGAATGTGGTGCAGTTGTCCATGGCAACCAATCAGCATCTCTCTTCAGTTTGCTCAGGTAGGATTTGAAAATGAGACTGAGAAGCTGATTGGTTGCAGTGCAAATGTGCTCCAGATTTTGCCTGCTCAAATTTTGATAAAATCCCCCCTAGGTGTTTGGGGAGCACTGCAAGGAGAGCCCAGTGCCCAAGGGTCACGTCACAGACAGACCCCAAAATCTTCAGTACAGTGGAGTTCGGAAAAAACCTCCAAGGCAATGCTGAGGATTAACTGATCCCAATAATTGTAAAAGAAGTGGAGCTTTACAGTATAACAAACATATCTTGACTGAAGAAAAAATAAATATATTGAAATCTTGAGTAAAAATGGTTTACGTCCACTCTCCTAGGACACTAGTAAAGAAAACTGAAGCATTATAGGAGTGGGAGGGGTTATACCCAACCGGAAAACACCTTTTCTTGTTTTGCCAGTGTGCAATTCCTCCAGTAGGGGGCAGTATAACCCATGTGTCCAAGAATTACTTCCAACCCTTTGTCCCTTTATGAACAAGAAAAAAAAAAAAAAGTGACTTTACATTGTCATTGTCTTTTGTTGTTTTGTAATCCGTTGAATAAGCAGTATGTCTGACATTTCGGTAAAAGTTGTTCAAAAGTGTAAGACAAAAATGTCTTCCAACTGCAATATTAAGTAATCCTGTTAGTGTTAGATCTGACCCAATAAACTAGGCTTGTATGGCACAAGCATGAATGGCATTAAATTTGTTAAAGCAGCGTTTATCGAACTACTGACAAGTGACAATGCAGTAGCACACTTGGGAGAAGGACACAGCTTTGTTACCCTGAAACAGGAAATGTCTGAACGTGTCTGAACCTTCATGGCAGGCTCATCAGGGATTATTTTAATTAAAGATACATATTTAAAAATATGAAAAACTACTTAAAAATTACATTAACATATTAAAGCTCATACAAGGTTTTATTGATTGGGATTCCCTTTAAAGCTGTATGTACAGGGTGTTATTTGTGCAGGTTTGAATCGTCACTGGGTTTAGAGACTCTGCCAATGGTACAGCAAATTGTGCAGTACAGGTGAACATTGTTTTCGTCCCACAGCAATATGGGCAAAACAGGTGGCACCAAAATGGATTCACTGTACTGCAGAACTCATTGTTACATCAGACCACGACTGAATCAAATGTAAAAGTAAATTGAGCAAATTACAATGAGGGCAATTGTAATTCTAGATACACAACGTTTAAAGGACATCCTTTAGATTCCACCCCACTGTACATAAAATGGGTGAGCTGCTAGGCAAATCAGATCTACCCAAGATCTCTTTCAAAACACAAAAAATAACCATGTAAACTGGAATCTTGCATATGAAGAACATGGCCTATGCCATGCAAAGCTTACTTGTGGGTGGAGGAGCAGCTGTCTGAAGTTCCCATAAAGGCGTGTTATCTGGTACAGACATAGCTCTTGTCATTGCAGGAATAACTGTCTGTTCAGATATTCTACGAGAAACAGGAAAACCAATGCATTAGATTTAAAATCAATTCTCCTATCAGATATTAAAAAAAAATAATGCATCTGTGAGGTTGATGACACTGTCAACGTGAGAAATTACCTCATCTTCAGAGCCTGGAACTGCTGTAAGAGAAGAGTTAGCTGTTGCTGCTGCTGTGATGAAAGAGCTGCTTTCTGCTGCTGTGCCATCATCTGGGCATATTGCTGTCTGTGTAGACAATAGTAAAATACAGTTATAAAAACTGCATCACCACCAACAGAACAAAACATGCAAAACGAAAAAAAAAAAAGGAGCATGTAGCAGAACGGAAACCTAAAAGGGCAGACATCCACCTCACCAAAGAAATGCCCCTGGTGGATACATGATTAGAAACCAACATTGGCATTTCTGTTAAATTGTGAACAAATATGCCAATTGGTATTGAGGTTACATTGTATTATGATTACATTTTTATGTGACGCAATAAAAGGTGACAAATTTTAAAACTGTAAGCCGGTTAATGGCGGCACCTTAAAAGTCCCTCAAACATACATGCTTGAATAATCTAGGAGGAAAGGGACATGGTGCCAAAATCACTAATCAATACAAAAATCTTAAATAGTATCAGCTTTATAATAAACTCACTGTATTAGAAACTGCTGGTAGTGCAGCTGCTGCATCTGGTACAGGGTTGTCATCTCTTGGTGGCGGCCAATTTGCTCAGGTCCCAGCTCTCCCTGTAAAATGAAAACAGTGTAAGGTTAAAGACTCAAACTCTGTTCACGTAAATTGAAGTGTAGGTCAGGGGAACATTTATGAAAACATGCATTATGTGTCTGCAATCCATGCACATTCCCCTAGGTTTTATCCATATAAAGGCCATACAAGCACAGAGAAAAACCTGTTGTTCTGCCAAAAATGCCCTCAGCTCCTATGTCCTGATGTGGGCTCACAATACACAGCAATTTGTGGAGTGAGAGGTGTCAACCCTGCCCAGTTCTGTAAATTACACAGACCAAGTGCATTTTACAAAAAATGAGAGAGAAAAAAAGCGCAAAATTACAAGAAAAAAGAAACTGCTGTACCATGTTGATGCAGGGAGCATCTGATTGGATGCAGGGCATTTTTCTTTTTTTATTTGCGGTGATCTTGATAGAACTGTCTTTTTTCGAATTGACTGTAACATGTAACAACATGTAACTTTTTACATGCTCTGTAAAAACAACTCTTACAGAAACTTGAGAGATCTATGGCGTGAGGGAACTACACTCATCCCCATAGTTAGAGCTAACGTGTGACATTAAAACTGTCGCACGTTGGCTCTATTGATCAGGAAGTGTGTGGAAACATACCACCGCTCGCTGACATCGCGATCCTCTCCTTGCGGAGGGCGGTTACGGTAAGTCACCGCTCCATGCAGGGATTCCACCCTCCCTTCTCCGCAGAAACATGTCGCCCATCCGCTCACTTCCCAATCGTCTCCCTGCAGTGAGCGGTGACTGTCAGTCACCGCTGCCCGCAGGGATTCCCCCCTCCCCTCCAGTGCTGATTGGAGGAATGAATGAGGGAGGGGGCGGGCAGGCACCGCCTCATCCAGTAGGGTGGATCTCGACAGTATTGTCGGGATCCGTCCCAGCTGCGGCATTTTTAGCATATAGTGGGGTATATACGGAGTTTTGGATTACAGGAGGTCGTTAGTATATGTTCTACTGTGACCCTAAAGAGAACTATGGGGAAAAAAGGTTACCCCATAGTTCTCCTTTAAGGCTCCATTCACACTTGCCACTTGCATATTTATGCAGGCTAGATGCTTTGCTTATGCTTGTAGATACCAGATGCATCTAGTACGAAATATGCATTTACAAAACTATTTTAGGTGCTTCTAATCGCACCTAGTGTGAATGAAGCCATAATGCTTTACATAATGCGAACATGCCAACGCAAAAAGGAAAATGAAGAATGACTTACTAGTCTGGGCGTTGGAGGTGTAATGAATGGAACTCTGCCCCATAATTTAATAATGTCACTGAGTGGCTGAAAGGTCTCATCACATACTCTCCGCAACAACAAAGTAATTGGAAAGTATCCAGCTTGATACCATTCGGCCATTTCTCGATTACCAAAAGGACCTATAAAATACAGAATTGTAATAAGACGTTATTAGAAGACTGAAAAGTGACAGAAGCAAAAAAACACAAAAAATGGACTCACAGTAATAAGTCAAGGCTCACCCTGAATGTCTCCCTGTGGATCTTTATAGTACCACTTTTGTTGGTTATCTGGAGATGGTCCTTTCACTCGATGATCTAGCACTTTCCCTCTTAATCTGTCATCATCTAGCGCCCCGTCCTGCAGGTACGCCACCATCTGCTGTGCTTGCTACACCATACAAATGACTTATTAGCAATCCACTTATAAGTGAGACAGTAATAACTTTACACTCTTCAACCCTTTTATGACTGTTTGAAAGAAAAGTTGTCCTATTTTAGCTCTATAAACAGGAACATACAAGCCCATGTATCTCTGTCAGGTGAAATAGAAAAGATGAAATTATGAAAAACGAGAACTCATGTAGGTTTCTGCTAGGTTAATGCAACAAAAGGGTTGTACCTGCTCCATATGTTCTAGCCCATCCTCTTCATCAGGTTCAGAAAGAAGACTGCCCATGCCAGGTGCAGCATTGACCGAGGGATGGCTTGATACTGAGGTGCTGTCTATGTGGAGAGTTGCAGAATTTGGGGAATGAACTGCTGGTCCTTGATGACGACCTTTTACTTGTCGAGCAGCAGTACTTTGGCTAAATGCAGGAGATATGGATTGAGGTATACAAGGAGCTGTTGACTTGTTGGAGACTCTGGGACCATGTGAAGTAGAATCTACAGAAATAAACTGATTTAAAAACTACAAATACAATTAAATTAAAAATGAAACAACAAAATATACATAACTGCAAAACAAATGTGCATTCTAATAGTATTGCGTGAAGACCAGCGGGCTTACTTCATGAAATAGGATTTTTGTACTCGCTTTAAAATCCCTTTCTTAGGGTCCATTGAGGGGCACAGGAAATCTTTCACGTATGGGTTTTACTGCTGCCTACAAGAGGATTTGACACTGACAAAAAAAAAGTAGGCCAGCCCAGGATAACTACTCCTTATACCCGCATTATTCAGTGTTGTTGCAAAACCGTACTGAGAACAAGATCATAAACTCAGAGAAGTGGAAATTGTAACCCCCTCAATGGATTCCAAGATAAGGATTTTATGGCGAGTATACAATTCCTATTTTCTTTCTCGTCCATTGAGAAACACAGGAAGTTTTAAACCTATGGGACGTTCAAAAGTAATCTGAGGGGTGGGCAACATAGCAAACAATACACTAATAGGCCCAAAATACAACAGAGAACCAGGGACTGTCTGCAGCTCAAAAAGCAGCCTGACGGACCTTATGCTGAGGCAGGCATTAGATATGGTCAAAATGTCTACCTGACAGAATTTAGAAAATGTGTGTACATAAGACCAGGGAAATAGTTGCTTGAGGCCGAAAAACGCCCAAGAAGTACTAACAGGTCTTGGTAGGGTTGGTTTTGGCATGAAAGGTTAAAACCCGATCCTTGAGACCATAAGCTTTGATGATGATCTGTCTGAGCCACCAGGGATTCTGGATTCCCCAAAAAATATCAGTCATTTTAAAAGGAAGCTGTAACAGAGACAGACTCACAGCCCAACCACATCCAGACATAAGGACATTTTCTTTCAGTGAACTAGAGTCGGACAGAAGAGTCAGAAATCTGAGCTCAAATTAAGACATTCAGAGCTTGGGCCGGGTACTCCATTTGGGTTTGGGAACGGTGAACAGGTTGGAGTAAAATCCGGGGCCGTCCGTATGATGAAGAATTCTTGAAGAGCAAGGGAAAAAAAGGCGCTAGCAAAAACAGAGCTAAAGAAAAGCCACCCATCATTCAAGGACACAAGCAAAAAAACTAGCATGCTGGTAGTAGGAGGGGTTATCCTGGGCTGACAGTTTTTTGTTTGTTTTCCAGTGCCCATTCCTCCTGTGGACAGCTGTATAACCCAAAAGTGAAAGACTTCCTGTGCTCCTCAATGGATGAGAAAGAAACCAATTATATGTAAAAGTGCAGAATCCCACAGCAACCAAACTTCCATTCATTTTAGGCTGGACTACTGACAGGAACTGTGAATTGGTCCCAATATTGACATGGGAAAATGTGTTGGTATGCTTACCGCTCATTAAAACAATGCTTCAGTCTCATGTTTATCTACATGCCTTTGGTATACATGTAAAACAGAAAAGTTACTTGCTTTACAAAGATATTTTAAAATGGCTTGGACAAATGTGTTGGTACCCCTAGAAAAGTTTTAAAATAATTGGATCAGAGTGACATTTCAAACTAACGGCTTTCTGTAGTAGTAGGTTTCTTACTATCACACATTCCTGTAATTGGTCAGCCTACTTGAAAGTAGTCTCTGCTGTTTGGTGTCATCATGTGCACCACACTAAACATGGACAACAAGGAGAGAGAGTTATCAGAGGGAATGAGAAAGAAAATATATAAACCAGCACGTCAAAAGGTAAAAGCTATAAGACCATCTTCAAACAGCTTGATGTTCCTCTGACTACAGCTGCAAACATTAAAAGGAGAACTATGAGGTGAGTGCTTTTCACTCACCTCATAGTTCTAGCCGACCTGTGACAATGAGACTGTCACAGGTCGGCTCAGTAGATCGGGAGGTGAGCGAACACATACCGGGTTCGCTCGCCTCTCGATCCTGTCCCGGCTCTCTGCCGTGACAGGGGGAGGGGCTGGATTCCCCTCTCCCCGCTCCGATCTGCCAGCGCTGACTGGCAGAACGGACAGGGGAAGGGGGCGGGTACAGCTGGCTCTGCCTCTAGATAGGCAGAGCCAGCTGTCACTCACGCAGCTGGGCGGATCCCGTCATCTACGTCGGGATCCGCTCCGGCGTCTCAGTATACCGCAAGCTGTAGCTTAGGGTAACGGGAGGACGCTAGTTTGTGTCCTTCCGTTACCCTAAGGAGAACTATGGGGAAAAACATTGACCCCATAGTTCTCCTTTAACAGGGAGTTTAAAGTCCATTGGAGTGTAGCAACCCTCCCTAGACATGACTGCAAGAGGAAGATTGAGCCTTAATTGAACAGAAAGATAGTGCGTATGGTAGACAAATAGATAGGGAAAACTTTCAAAAAAGAGACAAGCTGAATTCCAAGGTCAAGGTACACAAGCGTCTGATCGCACCATCTGTCAATTTTGAACTTCTTAATGACCAGTGGCGTCCATAGTACGTCACTGGCATCGGGCCCGTTTACACAGAAAAGCCGCCAGGGACTCTGTTTAAACTTGTAAAGCCAACTCGCTTCTAGGGGCCGGTAAACGGGACAGCTCTGCCCCACCCGACACCCCGCCGTGTTTCCCAGGTTCCGCTTACAGGCCAGGCTTCTCTGGTGTCAGGTGGAAGATTGATGAACCTCCGTTCACCGATCTCCTCCCCGTACTATGGGACCGGGAGAGATGCAGATTACATCACTTCCGGTCCCATAGCTGTCAGTGCTGGGCTTCTGAAATCCAGCAATATGCTATTAAAGTGCGATCTGCACTTCAATAGCTTATTTCAAGTGTAAAGGTGACACTAGGGGTCTTTTAGAGCCCCAGTATCACCTTAAAGAGGACCTGTCACTGCCAATAAGCTATCACATGGGGGGCTTGTAATCCCCCCTATGTGATAGTAATTAAAGTAAAGTTTTAAAAAATAACAGCTTTTAAAATTATTACATAAAATAAATGTAAAAATAATTGTAAAATGTTTTCGAAGTCCCCTGCACGCGTGTCTGCACGTAAACACATGTCGGGTGCACCTATGTATGAAAACGACGATCACGCTACACATGTTGGGTATTGCCATGCACGCTGAAGTGAGAGAAATAATTCTAGGGCCAATATTTACGCCCATCTCTAAACTGATGACCCATGGGGGCTTTTACAGCGTCGTCTAAGGACTTTTTGGGGTACTGAATTTTGCCGCAGTTTCACGGACGCACACAATTTTTAACCTGGGCATGTTGGGTATCTAGTTACTCGTTGTAACCTCAACTTTTACATTTTATTTAAAAAATGGCTATTTATTGTGTTTTGGGGCATCTAAGTGCTTTTATTATCACATTTTGGGGTTTGATAAGGAGTCGCGCTAATATCGTTCAACATAAAAATTTGCAAATGCCACCATTTTATTCTACAGGGTCTTGGCTTTCAGAAAATATATAATATTCAGGGGGTTTAAGTAATTTTCAGGATTACTTAAATGCGGATTATTACATGTACACAAAAAATGAAGAAAAAAAAAGTCCTCGGTCATGAAGGGGTTAAAGGACAGTGGGCTCAAAGGAAAATGCCCCAGTTGAAAGAAAAACATGAAAAAGCCAGACTGGAATTTGCTAAAATGCATATTGGCAAGCCATATTCCTTATAGGAGAATGTCCTTACTATAGTAACTGAGACAAAACTGGAGCTTTCTGGTAAGTCATATCAGCTCCATCTTCACAGTCAAAAAAAAACAAGGTTTCAAAGAAAAGAAAACCATGCTGTGAAACATGGACAAGGCTCAGTTACGTTTTGGGGCTGCACTGCTGTGTAGGGCACAATGAAATAACCAAAAACTATCAAGAAATTCCCCGAGTGAAACGTACTGCCCAGTGTCAAAAAGCTATGTCCCAGTTGCAGGTTATGGGTTCTCCAACAGGATATTGACCCAAAAACACACTGCTAAAAAGCACCCAAGAATGGTGGTGAACAAAACATATCTACTATACTATACTATACTATCCTGAAGTGGTTACTTTGAGCCCTGATCTGCATCCTATGGAGTATCTATGGAAAGAGCAGAAACATGCAATCTGCAGAAGGCACCCTTCAAACCTGAGACAGCTGGAGCAGTTTGCTCAAGAAGAGTGGGTCAAACTACCTGTTGGCAGGTGCAGAAGTCTCAGTAAAGGTGCCCATACACTGCACGATTATCGTACGATAATCGTATGCGATCGGGTTTTCGTACGATAATCGAGCAGTGTGAACGGAGACGTGCGACCGTTTCTACTGTACGGTCGCACGTCTTCTGTCGAACCAGCATGTTCGAAAACCAGCCGGGAATCGTACTATTCTCGGCTGGTTAGAACGGTGCTCGGAAGATAAATGCTGAACGGGCCGGTGTGCGCACGCGCACACTGCCCGTTCAGCATTGCGGTCATCGGAAGCCCGCCCCTCAGGAGGGCGGGCTTGCGATGATCGAGAGTGCGATCTGCCTGTCCAAGATAGGCAGATCGTACGTTTTTTTAATCCCTTTACAACCATCGCAAGACTAAAGTCTTGCGATGGTTGTAGAGTGTATGGCCACCTTGAGAGCTATAGAAATTGCTAATCTGCACTGAATCCATCTAAAGGTTGTGGAACAAAATATCAGATGAAGGGTCCCATCATTACTGTCCAGGCCATTTTCATGTGTTTTATTATTGAAAATAATCTATTGAATCAAAAACCAAAGTCTGATTTTTATTAAATTTGGAACAATTATGGATGCCATTAGTTCGGTCACTTACAGTATACGTTAATATCAGAGAGGATTGTGGGTACTACTTTCAGGGAAAGGTACCAACAAATTTGTCCATGTCTGAACCCACTGCATTTTCCCTAAGCAAGTAAAAAGACCACAAGGTTTGCTCACACCTATGTACTTACAGTGCCATTGGCAGCTTTTCTAATTGCTCCATATGTATACTAGACATATTACAGGTTGATCAGTTCATCTATTAAAATAACTACCACAGGTCAGAAAAGGAAAGAAGTACTGCCCTAAACCGATGAATTTTTATTTCACCTCCAAACCTGCAATAAAAACGTGATCTTTATAGCTGCCTTGTTCCACTTTTTCTTTTAGCAACTCCAATATGCTATTACTCTTGCAGCATAGCCATTAGGCTAGGTTCACACCTGGGCGACTCCTGACCGCACGGCAATCGTGCACAAAACCGCTCACGGTTTTGTGCACGTGTCACGGAATCGCTCACCACCATTATTTTCTAATGGCACCCCAGTCGCGCCGGTTTCCTGCCACAATTTCGCCCGTGCAATTGAACATGATAAAAAAGCTGTGTGTCGTGTGCCACAAAAAAAAGGTACTTGTACCTTTTTATAGCGATTGCTGCGCGGATGTAACCCCATTGAAATCAATGGGGCCGTGCGCCAACCGCTGTGTGCACTAGCACACGATCGTGCAGTCTCGGGTGTTGAACCTAGCCTTATACTTCTGCTATACCACATATACTATTACTTGCACTCATGCACCACATATATAAAAGTGACTCTTTTAGCATACCTTTATACTTGGCTATGCTCTTACACCATATACAGTGGCAAGAAAAAGGATGTGAACCTCTTGGAATTAACTGGTTTTCTGCAGTAATTAGCCACACAAGTTATCTAATAAACCAGTGAAACATACTGGACTTTCATGCATTTTTAGCAAAGGATTCTTACCTTCTTTGTGGTTTGGTGGGGTTGGTGGTTTTGGAGGTGTTTGGGGTCTCACATCCTGCTCAGTGCTATTGGATGCTGGGTGATGAGTTTTTTTCTGGACAGGCGGCTCAATACCAGGGTCAGTCTTTATGACTGGAGAGGGTGTCCTGTGTTTTGATTCAGGAGGCGTGGCCACTAAGACAAATACACACAACAGAAATGTAAAATTGAATACCAAATTCCTGATGACTCCATGTTAAGTAATGGCATGCATAGTAACCAATTATACTTTGCCTGTCTTCACAGCTGTCCTTTCTGCCCTCCTCATTTGCTTCTACTTTGGGCAGGTCCGATTCTGCCTCCTTGGCCTCCTCTGAGATGCTACCTTCAGAGTCAGTATGCTCCTCCCCCTCCGCAGAGGGACGGAAGTCTAACTCCTGCTCCTCAGGGATTGGCTCTTTCTGCACCTTCTGGAAAATTTCAAATTTTAAAATTTTAAAAGAGAACATCTTGCAAAAAACACATATATGACATGATCTTACTTTCTCAAAAATTGCCAACTACAACACTGAAAAGTTCCATTTTAAATGCATTACTAAATTATTACCAAAAGGAAGGAGGACATGAAGATGGAAGAGGAAAAAAAAAGCCTACAATGTACAGAGGAAGTATGATTCAGGGAATGGAAGCCTTACAGTATTTTGGTCACAATAGCACACCTTGGAAGGTAGGAATGCTCCTGAGGAGTCAAAGGTGCCCGTCTCATCTTCAGCATCTTCCAGACACCATTCTGGCAAGCTGTCCCTCTCATCTTCTACACTTCCTGAGCCACTGCGTGTCCTACGGTAACCACGTTCATCGTCTCGTTCTCGAAAGTCAAACTCAAACCGTCTACGCCGATCTGGATGTTCTCTCCACCCAGGGCCCCGAGCTCCATCTTTGGAAAAACAAGCACACATATTAAAAATAAGCCAAAGACGAATCCACAGAGCAAGCAAATTCGGTTTCTCAGAAGATCTCCACCCACACTTTAAAAAAAAAATCCCCAATATTACAGTTTTCAGAAGAGAACCTGTACTCTGCCTATGTGTAAAGTTATCAGGTACAGTATATTCAATTTTTAGGAGGCTCTACCAACTTTCCCAATGCTTCTCTGCTGCCCAACCTGAGCCAGAGTTCCAGGAAATATCTGATAATTCTGTGTATAGGGGGAGAGAGACATGTGACAGTCCCCGTCTCCCCACAGCGCAGTGCTGAGCAGCCAATTAACATGTCTGTCACATTAGTACCTTGTAGGGCCCTGTATGTTGTTTTTATTTCGGAAAAGGTCAACTTTAACCACTTGCCATCTGCCCATTGTGAATAAACGGACGAATGTACCTGTACGTAATTTTTTCTGCTCCCGTGCTGGGTATGTAAACAGCCGCTACCGACTGTTGCATACAAGCGTTCAACCGGCTCTATAGCTTGTATGACACTAAAAAGGTGCACGCGCCCCTCCAACGCCGCTGCCGGTTTTCCCAGGCTCTGCTGTCCCCCTTGCGGGCCCGGGACCAGCACAGCGACTACTAGCAGTGAGAACGAAGGGGAGATCAGCATTCCCCCTACGCTGATCTCTCCTTCTCTCTCTTTTAAGGCAGAAGCAGTGAGTATTACATCACTTCTGCCTTTGCTGTCATTTCTCTGGCTGCTATAGCCAGAGAAGTAGCTGGTGAAGCAGATCTCTGCTTCATCAGCTTCTTTAGGGGGTCCGAAGGTGACCTTAGGGGTCTTAGAGACCCCTGATGTCTCCACAAAGAGGACCTGTCATTGTATATTGGCTAACATATGGGGGGCTTGTGGGGGGGTACATATAAATATGCGTCGGGAGCTACTAAATGCTAAAACAACGATTACGCCACACATTACATATCACCATGAATGTCGCAGTGAGAGCAATCATTTTAGGGCCATTAATCACTGATGACACTAAACTGATGAGCGGTAAAAGCTTTTAAAGTGTTGCCTATGGACAATTTTAAGTATGGTCGTTTTTTGCGATTATGCGGGCGAACGCAGATTTAAAGCTTAACATGTTAAGGTGTCTATTTACCTGACGTGACCCTGTCTTTTATATTTTACCAAAAAAACATTACCTAGGGAGAACAAGCGTTTTCTTCCAAAATGTTCAAACTTTTTTCGTTATATAGTAAAAAAATAAAGTGCTGATTAAATACCACCAAAAGTAAGGTCCATCTGTCCCCAAAAAATGGCATAAAATTCATTTCAGTACAGCGTTGCATGACGGAATAAACGTCAGTCAAAGTACCGCAGCGCTGAATACTGAAAAATGGCCTTGCAAAGAAGGGGGTTTAACACCCCGGTAAGCAAGTGGTTAACAAGAATTTCAAGGTGCTCCGATTGGGGCAATGAGGTAAGCGTAGGGTAGGGGAATACAGTCTCTCTAGGACTCTCAGTCCTCAATCTCTTTCTCTAACTTAAAAATGAAATTTTGCAAAGGCACCCAAAGGCTGTTAAAAAAAAAATAATGAAAGAATAAAAAACACACTAAGGGCCTATTCACAAGCATGTGACAAGTTACTGGCGTACATTGTAGGTAAGTCTATATTGCTGCAGGCCAAGCTGCTAGTTCAGCATGCAATCAGGCAGATCGTACTTGCGATCATCGAAAGCCCGCCCCGCTGATGGGCGGGCTTCTGATGACCGCAGTGCTGAAGGGCAGTGTGCGCGTACTGGCCCGTTCCGCAGTTGTCGAAGGAGCACGCCACTAACCCGCCGACAATCTTACGATTCTCGGAGGGTTTTCTAGCATGCTCCTTCGACAAAAGACGTGCGACCGTACAGTAGAAATGGTCGCACGCCTTTCATACACCTTGCGACTATGGTACGATCGTGGGATTTCCCGCGATTATCGTACGATAATCGCAAGGTGTATGGGCACCTTTAAGCTGGCCATACAGGGGGCAATTTGATGTCAATGAAGCGGCAGGTGGCAATTTCTTAGCGTGATCAAACTTACGATTCCATTTTTTGTCAAAATCACAAAGCAAAGAAATACAAAAGTGCTTTCAGCTGACTGATCCAAGTTGACAAAATTGTTGCAGTTTTTTCCCATTTGGGTTTCATTTGCATTTAATCTTTTAATAACTGTGTCAATTCATTGTCCAGTTAAAAAGGAGAAATCCAGATAAAAATTTTTATTAACCCTTGCAGTGCGGGGGTAGTACTACTGCAAGGGTTAATAAACAGTTCTCTTAACTTCATCAACAGAATTTTTGCAGTTGTTTGTGCAATTTCATCCCATTCTATTTGCAATTCCAGTGGCTCTAAACTGGATAAAATTGACTGAAAATTGCCATGTGCATGGACAACTTTATTCTCTGTGAAATGATTAATATGAGTTCAAGTTGGTTCTAGGAAAGCAATCATCAACAGTTTATTTACAAAAATGTTTATCAACAGATGGAGCTCAACTAATAGTGTTCTCCGCTCACTCAGCACTTCCCACAAAGTTCTGCATTACACTCCCGGTACACAGGCAGCCTATTTCATCTTCTAATAGCCCATCAGTAGTCTCTGACAGGATCTCACAGTACAAACTTTGCTGTACAGCGATCCCCAACCCTTCCGGCACCAGGGACTGGTTTCATGGAAGAATATTTTTCCATGGACCAGGAAGGGGGG